TTGGCCAGTATTGATGGTAGTAACAATTATATCTAACATATTCACGCCCCCAGGAAGTGCTGACTGCATTCTAATTCACTTCACTTTGACACTCATTCATTCAGGCAGATAAAGGTGCTATATCCCTGCATTATGATTTTTCTCCACCTGTTGTCTGCTTACAGGCCATGAAGCGAAGAGGAGCTGTTTATCCCCTTAGTGACCAGACCTCTTTTCAATTTTCTTACCATTTGGGACCAGGGCAGTTTTTACATTTCTGGTGTTTAATGGGTTTAGCTGTAATTGTCCTCTTACCCATTTACTGTATCCACACATATTATATATGTGTTCAGCAACATCTCCAGAGTACAGTGATACCCCCCATGTATAGGTGTGTCTGGTTCTTTGGGGGCTAAAAGACCTTATTTGGAGAGTGAGCATTCCAGTTTTCCAACTTGGAATTTTCACAGCTGGTCATCATGCATCATGAAACATTTTTGAAGCTGGCAAATGTAATTTACCCCAATCAAACCATATATTTTTCAAAAGTAGATACCCTAGGGTATTTCAAATAGTGGTATTTTAACACTTTCCATGCACTAATTCTACCACCAGTCTTTGTCAAACTTTTGGGTAGTCATTTTGTGTTATTTTTCTCTCACATTGTACTTGAGACATGTATTCTCAGTTCCTGTTATGTGTTACTGACAAAGAACACCCTAATATGTGTTCAGCAACATCTCCTGAGTACAACAGTGCCCAATCCCAATGTACAGGTTTTATGTTTTTTTGCAAACTTACAGGGGTCAAATGTCGGACTTTACCCTTTTCCATGTTTGCACGTTCAAATTTGCCAGATTGGTTTGCTGTGCCTATGTTGCCTTTGAGACTGTATAGCAGCACAGGAATGAAAATGAACCCCATCATGGGATACCAATTGTAAAAGTAGATAACCCAAGGTATTCAAAATGCGGTATGTCCAGTCTTTATAGTAGCCACTTAGTCACAAACCCTGGCCAAAATTAGCATTTATATTTGTTTTTTTTACATTTTTCACACATAAACTACCATTTCACCGATGATATTATCAGTATAATACATTTTACTGCTCTAAAACATGTCTCACGAGTACAGCAGTACCCCTCAAGTACAGGTTTTATAATTATTTGAAAAGTTACAGGGTCAAACATAAGATTTGCAAATTTCTTTTTTTGTAAATTGCTATTTGCCAGATTGGCTATGTTGCCTTTGAGATGGTATCGCAGCCCAGAAATGAAATTAACCCCACCATGACATACCATTTCAAAAACAACCCAGGGTATTCAAAATGGGGTATGTCCAGTCTTTGGTAGTAGCCACTTAGATAAAAATGCTGGCCAAAGTTAGCATTTTTATTTGTTGTTTGGATTTTTTTACACAAAAAACTGCACTTGTACTGGTGATTTCATTGTCGTGATACGTTTTACTGTTTTAAACACTCATATTTGTGTTACTGTCAGCCAGGTGAGTCTCCTCATGAGCCTCATAATGACTAGGGAAGAATATCTGCCTTTGTTTCTGGCTTCATTGTCTGAGAGGCATTTAACTGCTTTTCCCTTCCACAATGAGCCCCAAGTGTGTGCTGCTGCTACTATTGGATAAAGTTCAAATAGCGACGATGTAGTGTTAAAGGCATGTAATGTTCAGGCTTCTGATGGCCATGAGTCGCAGAGCCATTGGTTTTGGTATATGGCTGCGAACCCTGTGTGGGCTGCTGCGTCGGTGCATATGACCGGGGATTTATCGTCCAGAGGGGGTATGAACATTGACCTCCCGTTCCAGGAGTAGAGAAACCTACCCCACATAAGCAAGTCTGCCTTAGCGTTATTGTCGATAAGAATGGGCGTATTGTCATGAGGGGCCTCCGTTAGGAGGTGTAGTAAGCATGAAATTAATGCACGGCCCTGTGTTATTATGCGGATTGCGAAGTTCAAGGAGCCGAAGAGAGATTGCAGCTCTTTGCGGGAGCAATTGTTATTGTGCGTGAACCATGTGATTTCGTTTGTAATGCGGTTAACTTTCTCTTCTGGTAGACTAGCTATCATGGATGTGGAATCAAGATGGATACCTAAAAAGGTGAGGGCTGTAGAAGGACCTATTGTTTTGTCCCTTGATAGGGGGACTCCTAGTGTGGAATAAAATGCAGCAGTTTTGTCAATGCTGTTGGGAATACAATTAGGTTCCTCAACCGTGAGGAAGTCATCCAGGTAGTGTATTACTACCAGGCAGCCACACACATTAAGTAGGAGCCAGCCCAGTGTTTGGGACTGCTTTTGTCCCCAAACATCAGACGTGTTGTGAAGTAGTACTGGCCCCTCCATTTCACCCCATGTAGATGCCACAGAGACAGATGTATGGGTAGCAACTTGAAAGCGTTAGCAATGTCGGTTTTCCCTAACCAGGCGCCGTAACCTGCTTTCAAAATTGCCCCCATAGCATTGTCCACTGTGGCATACTGCAGTGAAAACTGGCTGGATGGTATTAGAGAATTAATGCTAGGAACCACGGACGAATGAGGTGCAGACAAGTCAATGATAATGCGTTTTTTATTGTTAAATTTCCTAGTTGCAATGCCAATTGGGTTAGTTCTGAAACTGGCATAGGGGGGTTGTGTGAAGGGGCCTATCATAAACCCGAGGTTGATTTCTGCTGTGAGCAGTGCATCTGTGGTGTCGGGGTCTAAGATGGCTGATTGAAGATTCCTGCATGCTAGCGTGCCCCCCGTGAGTGCCACTAGCCCGGTGTGGAATCCTTCAGTGAATCCCGTGGTGAGGAACTCGATCAAGTGAGGGGAGGGGTGGTTGGCGAGATAATAGGTGAGATTGCTAATATTAACTTCGGTGAGTCATTGTCTCGGGAAAAGACAGTTAGGGCACATGGACTTTGTGTGTGCCCTAAAGCAGAGGGAACAGACATGCAACAAACGACAAGCGCTGAAGCTACAACCTCCCGCATTGAAGTTGTTGCATATCTGTGCTTTGCCTAAAAAGACAATGGGTCTGCCCAGCTTGTCTTTGAGTACCCTGTCTGATTTGTTGGGGGCGGCCTCTGCGTGGCTAATGGAGGGTTGGCTCAGTTCGGAGGGGCACAAATTGGTGGAATGTGCACAAATGGCACAAGACGGAGGCTTGAGGCCGGCGAAGTGGCAGCAGAACAGTTCCGTATCTAGTTGGCTCCAGTCTGAGCGTGTGTTAAACTGATCCAGTGCTGAGGCCGCCTTCGCCGAAAATGACCTATGATAATCATTGAAGGTGTAGCCTCCGTACTTGTTACCCAGGTCGACCAATTTGTGGAGGTAAAGATCCAGCTCCTCTCTACGTTGTGGGAAGACTGAACATATGACGTCCCTGTACAGGCCAAATGCTATCACAAAGTCAGGGATGGATAGCTTCTTGTTGAGTCTGGGATCCCTAGCCTTGAGTACGACCGATACCTCCCCATAGCAGTAAGCTTTGTTTTCTACCAAGTCTTGGGATGCTATGAGGAGAGATACCAGGTTTATGTCTTTCCCTTCTAAAATGTCTTTCTTAATAGCTTGGGGTACTAAGTGGGCTGGAGTGATGATATGTGAAGGTGTAGGTGCTGGGTTAGAACTTGTGCTGTTACCCGCGTTAGGTAATGTTTGAGGTAGAGTGGGAAGGATAGCTGCTGGGGTGATTATGGCCACTTTGTTTTCAAGTTTCTCCTGTCTCTCATTGATGAGGTTAACTGAAGAAAGAAGTGCAGACATTCTGGCCTGGATTCCAGGCGTGCTTCCATCGATTGCCTGTGTGCTGGTGCCTGGTCTCGGGGTGTCAGAGTTGGCATTCAGGAGGCGGTATAGTTCCACTTTACGAGCCGTGGCTGGGTATGGTATGCCTCGTCTCCTGAGTTCGGCTGCAATCTTGGGTATGGTCCAATAGCGTAGAGACCCTGGACTTGCTGTCTCTACGTTCTCGACTGAGGTACTTGGTCTGGTTGGGCTGGAGATTCTGGCTGGGGTGCTAGGTAAGGAGACATCCTCGGCTATATACGAAGCGTGTGACATTCTCTGAAATGAGGAAGTACACTAGCTAGAAGTAATTAACTGTTTAGGGGTAAACGTACTATTGGGTGAGTTAGGTTTGAATCCATAGGGAGTGATCCCCTAGTTATGGTGGGGTGCTCTTAAGTGTCTATAGTACGTTTTACCTGTGATGCTGGTGGGCGGAGCGGTATCCGCCTGTGAGGAATGAACTTATGGAATGATTTGGGGATGTTGTGCCCCGGTGGTGGGTTTGATGGATCAATGCGTGGCGTGTGAGCGTGATTTCGATTAGTGGCTGAAATGGAGCCGTTGTGCTGGCCTTGTAACCTGTGGTCTATCGGGTGTGTGGTCTGACGGGGTGTGCTTCTTAGTGGGAGAAAGTGGAGGGGAAATGAAGGCAAATACTTATGTGCAGTTAGCGAGTTTGTATGGTTGCTTTGACCTATGGAACGGAATTAGTGTTCTACGTAGGACTTGTTACTGTCCACGAGTTGCCTGGGACTGTCTTGGAGACCTAAGATGAGGGAAAATTAATACTTCTGGCTTGACGTACTTGAGTGTGGCCCAAATGGGGGATGTATTACCTGAACGTTACTTGACCGGTGGATACGGGATCAAAGTTTGTGAATTATTATTTGTCCCAGGAGACCTAAGCAATAATTAGGGTGAGTATACAACCGAAATACCAAAATTTTTAAATGGGAAAATTTCTCTCACTTACCTGTTTTGTAGTAGTGAGGTATTCAATGGAGTTGTGGTCCTAAATTAGGTGTTGCCTAGCTGAAAATACATGTATGATGAAAACTGAGTGAGTTTGTATATTTATTTATTTATTTTATTTATTATTATTTTTCTTTTTTTTCTTTCTTAGTGTTTAGAAATAATTGTTATTTGAAGATACAAAGTTGTTACGAGGGGGGTGTGTTTGTCACCCCCCTCAGCCCCTCTTCTCCCCTACACCGGCCCCCCTCGATAGCTGTGGTCCTGTGGCGTATGGAGAACGAGCGTGTGTCCATGAATGCGGAAGTCGCGGTATGAGCCGGCTTCCCTTGTCGGACACCCCCGGGAGGACACGTGTTCCGGGCGAGCGTTACGTGCGTTGGTGGGGGGAGCTGTACTTACGAAACCCGGAAGTGTGCCCGGTCTGGGCGCTCTGGCAGGAAGTTGGTGGCGGGACCCAAATGTGGCAAGCAGGCTGGTATGGGGGCCCCCCAACGTCCGGGCTGCTGGTGGCTGAGAGTAGTTGGGATCTTCTGACCGGAATCGGAAGTGGACGCCAATAGGAGTCTGAGTCGATCTCGGCCATGATTAGAGGTTGGTTGGAGTTTAAATAGGCCAGTTAACCCCTCCCACAACTACAGGCTCCGCCTTTACGTATATATATATATATATATACATACATACACACACACATATACATATAATACGTGTGTATATAGTATGTGTGTGTGTGTGCAACAGCTCTGGTGGCCAATTGCACGCTCCCTCAAAACTTTTGACATCTGTGGAATTGTGCTGTGTGATAAAACTGCACATTTTAGAGTGGCCGTTTACTGTGGCCAGCCTAAGGCACACCTGTGCAATAATCATGCTGTCTTTCAGCATCTTGATATGCCACACCTGTGAGGTGGATGGATTATCTCGGCAAAGGAGAAGTGCTCACTAACAAAGATTTAGACAGATTTGTGAACAATATTTAAGAGAAATAGGCCTTTTGTGTACATAGAAAAAGTCTTAGATCTTTGAATTCAGCTCATGTAAAATGGGGGAAAAAACAAAAGTGTTGCGTTTATAATTTTGTTCAGTGTATGTGTGTTTCAGTCAGTGTGTCTCTGTCAGTCATCTTGTCTTAGTGTGAACCTCTGTGTTCAGTTCAATTAATGTAGTAGTCTGTCTGTAACTGTATACCCATGGGAATTTGTTACTCAGAGTGTGTGTGTTAATGTCTGACTGGGTGTGGTGAGATTTGCAAGGAGTTCTTAGGGTACAGACTCTGGACCACCTGCTGTTTTGTAACAAAATTATAAAAATGATGAAAAAAAAAGTATATTTTCTAAAATCACCTACTAGACATGATAACTCATTGCAAAGTGTGTGTTAAAGGAAATTCATGCCATCCCCAGGTTCTGGGGACATTCATAAAATGTATAATATTTCTAGAACCCCAAGATAGCTTTGTATGTCGTTATCCATTCTCTCTTGATATGCAATTGTATAGTAGATTATTATTTTAACATATTATTCTTAAGTTATTTTTTTCATTTCTCAATATCATATTGGAAGCAATGCTTTAAATCGCGCATTTTACCTATGGTAAACTCTTACATTATTGTAGTCATGGCTAACCTTGAACCCAGAAATGACAGTTAACTACAAAGAACTACAGTAAATGTAATCCACAAATGAAGCAGTAGGGTTAGCTAGCTTTGCATTATTCTATGAAAATAAATATTATAAAACATCTTGATCTGAATTTTTCATCGTCATTGTACTCAGTTGTAAATTAAACATCATTCAGTGATAAAATATATAAATATATATATATATATGTATTTTTTTTTTTTTAAATGTTCAGTAAAATCAAAAGGTTACATTCTTCTGCACATAAAGCAAAATCAGGGGACATGTCTGTTAAACTAGAAATGTCAAGGATAAGGCACTTGGAAAATTAAGCTAAATAATATCATTAGCTGAAATACGCAGGATTGCAATGAAAAGGCGTTAAAAGACATGATCGTGTTATTAAACATCCTGTAGAGAACATGACAATCATTATTTAGGGCTGTCAGACTTTTGTCAAGGAAAAACCTTAGAAAAATCATTATTGGTGGTGAGAAGCTAGCATACGTTGCAAAAAGGTTAAAAAAATTAATTTATTTATATCTTCAAAAGTCATGTTTTAGGCCATGTAACTTTTGTTTTGGGCTAATATATAGTTTTTTATGTTATGTTTGTTGACATTTTTGTATTTAAAATAAAGAGGAGCAGGTAGAGAATTGGCACTACACAGTAAGCACCAAAAACATTTTAAGCAGCAAAGCTTACAAGATTTACCTTGAAATTTGCAGGTGATCTTACACTTTAATGTTCATTCCAGTGATATTAAGAAATGTTTTTTATTCATCATCGAGAACGGAGGTGGACAAACTCTCTCTCCAGAGATAGAAGGGAAAGCAACGGGGGATGGGAGATGGGAATTGTAGGGAGGGTGGAGAAGGAGGAGAAATAGGGGAATAGAGAAGAGATGGAGGATAGACTTAGGACTAGGAAGAGAAAGATAAAATAATTTTAGGTTTGAAAAATCTAATTTTTTTAAGAAGAAGTAAAAGTAAAGGGGAAGGAATAGGGAGAGAACGAGTCAAAGCAAAAGAGTGGAAATAAAACAAATGATGATAAGGGTATTAATGGCCTGTGCAAAACATGCATTGATTTTTGACATGATATGCCATGATTCCTATCTGATTTAAAAAAAAAAATGAAAAAAACTTTATTATTTAAGTGTCCATTGAAATTTTGCATAATGTGCAGGTAAGGTATTGAGAGCTGATTGATATAGATATACCAAAGATCAGGGGGAAATTGAGCACAGGGCTAATTTATGTGTTTTATCTGCATTTCTAATTAGGGCTAACAGCTTTATTACAGTGTTACCATCTACCCCATGTGTTCCATAGGAAAGCATGTGGGGCAAAATGTCATTCTGCGCCAATCAGCATCTCCTCATAGAGATGCATTTAATCATTTCTATGGGGAGTGTTCAGTGTCACCATGTAGAGCGTGGAGACGCTGACCATAAGTGCTTGATTGATGTTAGTGGGGCAGCCAATTAATGTTGATTTTGGAACTGCCACTTGGCCAATGAAGGCACACAGAGTCATTGAGGTGGGGTAATATATAAATCAGGCTGTCAGGGTGTTGGCTTGCATTCATGTGACCAGACTAGTTACATAGTTGAAAAGAGACTTGCGTCCATCAAGTTCAGCCTTCCTTAGTTGTGATAGCACAAGAGACTGAGAGAGATAAATTACATTACGTTTATTGTACTTTACTTGCTACAAACTTGGGAAACCACATTGCTTTTAAGTGTGTTTTACAGGGAGAGAGAGAGAGTTTTGCCTTTTCTTCTGCATTTTGCTTCTTTTTTTGAAGAGCGGGTGGGTAAGAGAGTGTGTGGCTGTGCAAGCCAGGTAGTCTGATTGCCAGAGTGTCTCTCTGCTGCACTGTGACCTTACTGCCGCGATTAATTTTGTGTACCAGCCATCACTTGCTCTCACTTTGCTCTCTCTCACACACTCTCACTTGTTTGTTCACACACAAATTGCTTTCTTTCTGCTCACATTCTGCTCTCACAATCTGCTCAATGTCTGCTCTCCTACTCTGCTCACACTCTGCTCACTCTCTGCTCCTAAACTCTCCACAAAGATGGTGTCACAGGGGTGGGATTATATAGTGTGCATGCTATAGTGTGCAAGTGTTGCATGCTGGTAGTGCTCCCTGATTGGCTGCACTATCTGTGCAGTGAAAATGTCATTTTGTAAATTGTATATATACTAAACTAACACTACTAATTATTAACTAAACACAGACCACTTCTTTAAGATTAAGTGGTCTGGGTGCTGCTGTGGTCCACTATGCAATGTAAAACATTGCTGTTTAAGAAAAAAACACACAAATGTTTATTTTTCAAAACAAACAGCATTCCAAACTGCTGAATGCCAAAAACGAATGACATGCCGAACTGCCGAATGCTCGAAATGCATGCCCGAATGGCATGTGCCCGAATGGCATGAGCCCGAATGTCCGAACCAAATGCCATTCAGCAGTTCCGAAGTGCCAACCGAACCAAATGCTATTGGTCCGAATTGCCGAAGCAGACAAATTTTTTTACTTTAAAATATTGAGTAACTACTGAACTAAATCACTAGTAAAATCAGGACTTCAGTGGAAAATGGAACAGGATATATAGGATGAAGATAAATCAAAGATTAGAATGTATTCAGTTGTGGGAATATAATAAAAAAGGATAATTGTATCCGCTTATCAGGCTATATACCTTCCATGAAAGAGGTAGGAAAAATATAGTAATGCTGCAAATGTACAATAAATATTATATAGAAAGCACTCTGTCTGCTGCACTGTATGATCGATTAAACAGCAAGGATTTTAACCCTTTGGGTATATTGTCACAAAACTTGGATTTATCATATCCAACACCTACTGTGTGTTGGTTCTCTTACTTCAAAGTCACAGAACCTTTACTATATTATCATTTGCAGCATTATTAGATTTTTCCTACCTATTTCATGGGAGGTAAATAACCTAATAAACTGATACAATCCTTATAAAGAAATACAATTATCCTTTTTTATCACATTCCCACAACTGAATACATTCTAATCTTTGATTAGTCTTCATCCTATATATCCTATTCCATTTCCACTGAAGCCCTGATTTTACTAGTGCTTTAGTTTAGCAGTTACTCAATATTTTTATTTTCTACATTAACCTAAGGTGGTGGTTATTTTTTCAGTGATACAGTGGTTATGGTAGTGTTATTTGGTCTCTCCATCTAGCTTCAGCAGGCTATTCCATCATTTATTTTTTTTGGGTGTTTAACCTGTCTTACAGTTGTTGATTTAAATTTTCTTACTTTCCCGAACCGAATGAAAACATATCTTTTGCCCATGCACATCCCTACTAAGAAACAAATTATCCCATTTATAAAGAAATATCTCCTTCCTCACCATGTTTTTTCTGATAAAAACATCCACACCAGCAACATCTCATAGAAAACCCATTTCTGCTTCAGCCCTGAGGCACATTGAGGCGCTGGGGGTGGGAAATGAGACACATGGAGGGGATGAGGGAATGAGACAGGAGGGGGGACACATAGAGATGTTGGGGGAGCAATTTGAAACATAGAGGGGCTGGAGGGATGAGACAGACACATGGAGGGAATGTGGGGAAGAGACACATCAAGTGCCTTGGGAGTATGAAACACATGAAGGGGCTGGGGGGGATGAGATACATGGAAGGGCTAGGGTGGAAATGAGACACATGGAGTGGCTGGGGGAAATGAAACACATTGAGGTGCTGGGTTAAAATGAGATACATGAAGGTTAAGGGGTTAAATGAGACACATAGAGTTACTAGGGAGGAATGAGATACATGGAGGGTCCGGGGGGAATGAGACACACGCAGGGGCTGGGATAGAAGGAGACACATAGAGGGGCTGGGGGAAAGGAGACATATAGAGGAGTGTGGGGAGAGGCACACATAGGAA